CGCCGCCGGGAGGCCGGCGAGCCGTCTGGGGGAGAGGTCAGCAGGAGGAGGTGGCTTTTACCTTTCAAAAAGGCATTTGAGCGCAGTTTTTTAAATGTCGGTGGCTAATGATTTAGGGAAGACTGAGATAGATGAGCTAAAGAAAATAAGGAGCAGCTTGGCGAGGGGTCTCCTGGAGCACAACTTCGGGGCCCGGCAGGATCCAGGCCAACCCTTCTCTTTTTTCATTGATGATGGCAACCTGCGCTGAGGTCCTTGACAGCAGAGTGAAAACACAAGAGGAATTTTAATCATTGGCATATAGATACATACCCTGTCCGGCTTTCTATGAACTGGTACGCTTAACTATTTTGAGCATAATTCAGGAGTTTTTCAACAAAGCTTCCTCCTCTTGTTAAGACTAGCATCAAGTAACTTGTATTGATTTCGGTTACAGAGGATGCAGCAAGACACAGAGCTGAATTTGTGCCTCAGGCTTCAGTAAACAGCTCTTGTAGAACGGCCAGCCACGACTAAGCTAGAAGTGTTTTTCTTGAGCGCCTCAACATTTTATGTTCAGAAAACTCCCATACTCACTTGCCAGGCCAAAATCTCAGAGTTAAACTAGACCTTTCACGTCCAGGGCAAGTTGCTAATTAATCTCTCCCTGGTTTTGATAGATTCCATTTACACTAGAAAAATCATCTGAAAGCAGCATTGTGAAGCTTAGCGTGCCTCAGTGAAGCACACTGGCGTTTTCGAGGTAAAACTGCTTTATATAAGCTTTCCCCTTGTCTCAGCATCCTCATTGCAGTGAAATTCTTCTGCATTCAAGCCCGCTTGGGGTTATAAATGTTGTAACAGTCCTCCTTCACTCACCATAAGTTGAAAATCAACAGATATCAGACAAAATCAGTTCAAGTTCCTATATGTCATGAAAGCCATCCATCTCCTTCCCCTAGTTACTTCGCAAAAATTACTACTTCAAAGTTGGTCCCGTGCATCTCTTAAGCAATGCTATATAAGAGATCAGCTTGTCTAGAACTTAAGTAAATACATTAATGTTTTTTAGTTTTTTTTTTTTCCCCTCAAGACTTTTTAAAGAAAAACTGAATGGGAATATCAGTGAAGACTGTGGATGGCTCCTGTGTGGGTTATTGCCTACATCTACCTTAAAGACAAGTGGGTACTCACAGCAGCAGGTTGTTATAAAGTTAGTTTTAGGTCTTCAACTGTAGTGAGTTATCACAGAGACAGGGCTTCAGTTGTTTTAAATATCTGAGCTGGCCACCAGAACATCCAGTTCAGGACAATAACACAAGTTTATCCTGATAGCTGACAGAAGTTTAACCTCATGGGGCAAGGCTTAACTCCACTTTCTAGTGCTACATAGAAAGTGAAGTATGTATTTTACATAAGGCTTTGTGTGATCAAAATGAAAGAATGTACCCTAAATACCATAACAAAAGAAGTGTTAGGAAGTCAGTTTATCACCAAAACTTTTAAATTAAAAATACAGACCTTACCCTTTTATTGAGGCATTCACTTAAAGTTTATAAAAAAATTCTAACATACATAAAAGTTACACGGTAGAAGTAGTAAGAAATTGAAACAGCATTTCCCATGTACACACACTGCAATACAAATTTCAATTTGTGCGACTTAAATTGGCTTAATCTTGAAGTGTAGTCCAATAAGACTGAAGACTAGACACTTAAGGTCCTGAACCAGGTAGTAGAACACTCTCAAACCTTCTGGATCCCTGCAATGCAGAACAGGAGAAATTTAAAAAGTTAGTCTGAAGTTCTAAGGGAGCAGTTTATAGGACTAACTGTTTTTTAAAAAAAGCCTACAGCAAAACTTCTCAGAGGTCAGCTTAAACATAACAGATTCATTTCATGAGTACAGTGATTAATGTATCATTTTGCAGTCCAAGTTCACAAATTTTTAAGTCTTGACAAAACGAGCATTTTTAACATGAAGGCAAGTAGTAACATAACTTTAGACTTATGAAACACAACATCTAGTCTTTTCAGTTTAGATGAAATACCAAAGTCTTGGGTCTAACTAGAGACTTCGATGAGGACAGGCCAATGACATTTTAGTTCAGATTCTGTGAATACCTCTACCAAGTTCTCCTGTAGTAAGGCTAGCTCAGTGAGTTTAAAAATACACCAAGTAGTGACACATTCTAAAAGCATTTGGTACATTACGCTGGACCGGAGCACTTGGGCCTCTAGGAACCAATCTAAAATACAAGTACCTAGTAATCAACAAGTTTTACATAAGAACAACAACAAAAAAACAGAGTACATACTTGGATTGATTTACATCAATGAGTGAACCGATTTTTGATGTGGTAAAAGAAATGTGCTCATCACCGATTACTATTTCAAGCTCCTACAAAATAAAAGTTTATAAGAAGTCAAACTACTGTGTTGTGGTATTGGTTATAGAAATAAGTACTGAGAAAATGGTTTTTCCATTTTTATTCCAAGGGCATTGAATACAATATGTCTGTGAATCATAGCAACCCTCACAACTAAATTGCCTTTTAATACTGCACAAGTTTAAAGAAAAAAAAACATTTGTTTTCCCCTTTGCTAGAAACAACAGTGGCTTGAAAAAAAAAATTCAGTTACAGTTCTGACTAATTAGCTAACATATACAAACTAAAACAGCAAATGGAAGAGACACTGTACACCAACCTGGCGACCAACTCTATCAGGAGGAGGCCATAAAGCATCATCTTCTTTTGTAATTTCACTATCATCAATTATTCTCTTCAGCTCCTCCATCACGCTCTTATGAACGTAAGCCTAGAAACAATAGTTCAGCATGAAAAAACAAGCGTCATCTAGCATGCTACAGTTTTTACTCACATAAGCTATCATGCTCAAATAGCATGATCTCCTAATTTCAAATTGAAACACCTGCTTTCAAGAACAGCTAGACTGCTAAGCCACAAGACATAGGCTCAAAAAAGGAGCACATCTGTACTGAAGGCATTAGGCAAGCTTTACAGCGTTACAGAAACTACTAGTTTATTTTCATGCCGAGTGGCCAAGCACGCCCAGTGCCATACCTCTTTTCTGATCATGACATCATTTTTGTAGTTGCTGTTGTTGGCATAGCGCAGTTTCCCTAGTGGGAAAAAAAAAAAAAAACAGGATAAGCGTTAAACGGGCCCCCGTCAGTCGGGGCCTCCCACCACCAACCGGGTCCCCCCGGCTCGGTGGGGCCAGCGCGGGGCAACCGGCG